AGTAATTTAAAAACGCATTTAACTTAAACATATTAAACATTTTAAAGTTAACGTTTTCTTAGTATACTCTTGGTTAACTTGATATTTTGGTGTCCGGATCAAGTATCAACCAAATACTCATCTAGTTTATTTTTCTATTTATCTATTTTCTATTTTTCTCCCTATAGTATTTAAAATTAAAAAATATATTGTTCTATTCTGTTCAACATGAAAATCCATATGAATAGCCAAGGCAATCCTAAACAACAATCATAATCAATGAAAAGTCATTATTATTTGGGACTAAAAAAAATAAAACCAATATTATGTTGTCTGTCTGTCTTTAACTTCTTTTTCTGCTTGGCCATTTCGGTGACAATAATTTTACAAAATGGCGAATTCCATAAAGAAAACGCACAACACATGTACTAAACGGCCTACGTCTTCGCGCGAGTATACATAATATTGTAATAATAATGTAACAAAAATGTGCCGTTTCGGACCAACAGCTGTCGCCGTGTAACGTTCTGCTCGGCCGTATAATAATATTGTGTTGTGTACTTATATGTAGTTGTTACTTATAACTTGTTTAACATGCGAGTTAATGTTATTCTGTAAAAAAAGCATAACGTCCTTCCCGAATCCGAACAATCAACCAGGAATTAAATGGTTTCCGAGACTTTATGAGAGTGTATATTAATATATGAACAATTATAACAATTATAAAACTATTAAACTGCTATTACGCAGTTGTAGGTCGAGACCGGATGTCTTCGGATGGTATTTTTTACTTGTTATAAAACTATAAAAATGGCCAGTTTAAATGACGGCCGGTTTAAATTTGAATTAAATTTAAAGCAATAAACGAATAAAAAAAAAATGTAATTCTCATTTCAATATATAAGTGTAATTACACTGTCTGGCCATAAGGTCATCAGTCCGGGTCTGTTTTTTCTCTCGAAAATTCAACGAAGGGCCAAAACAGTGTCCAAGTACACGGTTCTGGGTAAATTAACTTTGGGATGACCGCCACGCCGCAATAGACCTTAAAATATTATCCTAGTAGTATTAACTGATATTATTATATTAAACATAAGAGGCATATTACTTTATTTATTAAAACAACTTTTATAAAACAAGTCATTATAAAGCACATTTTAGTTATTGACAAATTCGAGTTACTATACATCATAATGCATAAGCCATACAACAATTGAATCGCTAGACAAGTCAACTAAGTTAGGACTTAGGCTAGGTGTTTTGTGTCATGCATACGACAGAGGAAAACAATTATAAAACGGACGACAGAGATTACAACCAAAAGAGACTTAAATGCGTGAGTAGAAGGAAGCAGTGTCGAGATGTCATAAATAAATATACGGCTAAAATGTTTCGGCGTGGAGTGAATAAAAAAATGGCGAAAAAAGAGAAGTTTGTAGCATTAATGTGTGTTTTTTTTTTTAACTTGCTGTACAAACCGACGACGGAAGCTACGCGATTTGACCTAATATTATGTCATTGGCGAAAACAAAAAAAGTCAACTATTATTACTAAACGATTTCTGTGGGTTCAGTTAGGTTGAAGGATTTGTGCGAGACAAAAAACTGAAGGTCCAATATAAAATTTTTAAAGTTAATCATTAGTAGGAGCCCGTGGACTTGAGCTAGAATTAAGACGTTAACAGTAAAAACGATCGAGATCGAAAATCAGACGTTCGCATTTTTTGCATATTGGTCGAGGTCGTTTTTTTTAAGATCCTAACGACAAGCATTAAAAATATTTGAGTTTTTTTTTTGGTATTTTTTTTAACCTGCCCAGACAATATTATCATGCACGTGTGTTCGATTAGGTCTGAGGACATTATAATATTATGGTCGACGATCGCACTCATCCGGGTACGAGCAAGGGCCGGCATAGCCTGCGCTGATGATGTCCAATAATAGCAATAATAGTACGACGTGAGAATATTAAAAAAGCGTGGATGATACAATATCATTATATTATGTTGTTAAGCGCAAAACAAAGGATTCTAATTTTATAAGATTATACAAGTATAATAATAATAGTATACCTATGATTCAGGTAACAACACCGCCGATGTCCTTGCTCGTTTAACACGCGAATTATTTTTATATTATTATACTGTACACTAGTGTGTGTGTGTGTGTGGTTTTTTTCTAGATTTTTATAATCGGTATGCGTCCCACTCGTTCGGAGAGCGCAGCAGCGACTAATGAAATTATTTCAAATATAATATATTTTTATTAAAATATCTTAGTATGTATTAATAATGGCGCTACTATTTGGTGTTCTACAGTGAGCGATAGAAAAAAAAACGCGACAGTGTATAGCAATACAAATTTATAAAATACTTTATTAAGGTAAACACAATATATATATATATATATATTGTATTATCAGTGCACGTTTCGGTACATTACCGATAATGATAAATGTAAACAAACGTAAACGCCTGTTATTGACCCCGAACAATTATTGTAATAATAATAATATATCGGTCGTCATAACGTCTTCTATGTATTAGCTGCGACCACACACGTTCAATACCGTTCGCCGGCATCCAATTCCATCTCATAAAAACCACTAGGTATTAATACACCGAACGTCATCTTCGAAATTGACTTGTAAACATATAATAAAATAACAATAAAGTCAATATTACAGTGTGGCAATCGGCACCGTCACGTACATTAACAAGTTAAAAAAAAAAAAAACTGCGCTACCTGCAGTAACAAACAACATAAAATAAAACACCTTTGAATTCCATAATGTACGGGTCATTGAAGTGACTATTAGTATAAATAAAAATTAGTAACATGTTGATATTAAACACATCTACTCGCTGAGGCCTCAGTTCTATCTTTGTACCCTAAGGGATCGTGGGGCACGAGACCAGGGCGATAGAATTTACATCTATAAGTTATTTTTGGTTTTCTTAGTGTCCCTACGTAGTCTAAGACGGCCCCGTCAACACGCATCCGAACCTCGGACCTAAAACAGCCAAAAATCCAGTTGGACACTAAACAGCGCCTAAGCGTGTAAACGTTTCGGTTTTTAAAGACTTTAATATTGTACAAACTACCGTGTGAAGAACAAGTTGTTAATTTATGGATAATAATTTTTCGCAACCATAAACAATTATTTCCGGGAATTAATCAAATAATTATAAAATTGAATTTGTTTTTTGTGGTTTTCAAGCAAATGAGCAACAGATATATTTCAAAGGAATATTATGTTAAATACACTTGTAATGTGGGAAATCTTCTTTGTTGTTTGCTATTAGAAATAGCTCGCTATATTTTATTCATTAACAAACTTATACACACTCGCCTTATCGAGTCTTTCAAACCGTCTTTCTATAAGTATCCACGATTATATAAATTATATACATATAACTGTAAACATTATATCAAGAATTTTGTAATAAAATATTTCGTTGAGAAATTATGAATTTAACGGGTCGTTTTTCAGTAGTAGGTGAGGTTAATTTTTTTTTTTTAAAAATATGTCTTATCATCGACCTCATTAGCACGTCTTAAACGATTCGATCGTTATTTTTCATTGTGCTACGATAATTTCGTTTTTTGCTGACATTTTAGGACATTTTTTAGGTCGTTTATTTTAGTTGTTTTCAAGGTTTTTCTAGGACATCCGACCATTCTGAACACTACAAGTACCTAATTAGTATCCGTCGATCATCAAGTACTCGAACACTGGATACGACTTGGACTAACTAGAGACCATAATATTCTCACTGTGTGTGTGTGTGTTTGACGGACAGACGGAAACGCGACAGGTCGTTCATCTGTGGTCGCCAAACAATAAATAATAATTATTTTACTTAGGTGGAAACACAAACAAAAACACACACGGTAAAGGCGACGACGAAATAACTGAGAAAAATAGAAGAAAAAAAAAAGAAGCTAAATCGCGTGGAAGCTATGCACGGCGTTTAGATTTCCGGTTAAAAATTAAAAATTAAAAAAAACACAGTATTCAAGGCCGACTCCGACCAATATACATAATATGTAATGTAATATTATACACTCACGCCCTAAGGTCTTGACGAGAAACCGCTAAAAACAAAACTATACAACGTCAACATCTTAATTATTATTGTTTTATGCAACCGGTAATATTTTTCGTGTTTTCGCCTCGTGTCTAAAACATGAATAATTAAAACCTAGTTTTATCTAAATTCAAATTAGCGTTCCTCGAGTTTACCTGAACCGCTCTATTCGTTCTCTATAAACACAAAAAAAAAAAAATTTGGCGCTTCTTTTGGCCGAAGTCACATACAACAGTGTATTTGCCTCGATTAATTTTTCCTTAAAAGAAAAAAAATCACAACAACACACGATTTGTTTTGTTTGTTTTTTCAACTAGTGTTATTCGTTTTTATTACCATATAATTTAATTAACGCACAATAACATAATCATATCAATAATCCACGACTAAACAATACCAAAAAAAAAAATAATAATAATAATAATTTTGGAGAAAAAAAAATTCCCGAGTTTTGGTAAACATATTATATAGATGTATTATTCAACATATTACTATGACTATATAATAATTTACATTGTTTATATTAATGTTCCTGTTGTATAATATAATACAATATGATATACTTATTAATTATTATCGATATCTTAACGAGAAATGTTTATTAACTAACACGCAAAATAATTAAAAAAACAATACTAAATTGTATACTTTTCGTTACAACTTAAACATACGGGTAACAGTATTTTGGTAATTTTTTTTTTAACTCAAATCGTGACTGATCAACAATTGGGTTTTAAGTAAAAAAAAAACATGGCAATATAACGGTAAACCACAAAGTTATAATATAACATTATTTATGGTAATAGTATATATTATAATATTATATAATTCGAGTGGTAACCTGTTTTTTTTTTAATGTACTTGAGTTAAAAAAAAAAAAATTTACATCTCAAAAAAAAAAGATAGTTGGAAGTTGGAAGATTTTTTTGTCTTAATGTCTATCCCCGTTTTAGTTCATATCCTAAGTGGGGTTTTTTTTTTGTTTTGATAAGTAATCGAAATTGGCAAAATAGAAAATTTCCGGGAACCAATTTTTTTTTTTATTATTATTATTATACAACACTACACTACAAATGTTATTGTAACGTACAACATTTTTTTGTGAAAATATGTATATTAAAAATACCTTATTAAGTAATTACACTGGTCCCGTAATACTAAGGCACGCAAGGCCAAATATACTTAGTAAATATATATTTAAAAAAAAAATCACATTCACAGTTTTAATTACATATAATATAATAATAAACCATAGGTATCACATTGAGATTAAAAAAAAAAACAACTGATTTTTTTTCGACATTACTAATACATTTTTATAAAATATTATTTAATCTTATTTTTAAAACGAACATACTTTTTTTACATAAATTATTAATTAAAAACATAGAAAAACCAAGTCTAAACATACAATTAATTCTTAAGTGATATGCGGACTTAACTTTTCCCACTCAACTCTACCGCGGTACGCAGTTTATACACAGACTTATTATAAATAATAATTAATACATATTACTACACATTCATATTATATAAATATATCGTTCTGCCCAACAAGTCAATAGAAATCTCATTAGCTTCCGTTTTATTAATTTTTTATTTTCCTTTTTGATCACAAAAAAAAAAAGAAAAAATGGTGTTTTGTAAAATAAATAATAATAAAAAAAAATCCGGGCGCGTGACCTCGTACGATTTTTTTAAAACATTTGTTTTACTCGTACAAACAGCCTATTTATATTGGATACGTATACTGCACACGAATGTGTGTACCATTATCATATCACATTCGATGTGTAAAAAATATAACATTCTATTGATCTAGGGCGGGAAAAGTAGGGGGGGGGGTAGAGGGTTTACATATAAAACTACAAAGTGGGGGGAAACAAAATATATTTAGATAGATAGAATAGAGAGAGAGAGAGAGAGAGAGAGATAGAAATAGAGAAATACAATTAATTGTTCACTAAATATGTCCACCGCAAGACGTTGGTAGTTGAATATATTTTGGGCGTTGAGCAATTTTGGCGGCAACCGAGTACGGGTCGGCGGTCGTGGTTGGTCGACGATACCGGTCAGTGGGCTCCGGCCGTGGCCCTGTGCACCAGGTCTGACCTAGACAATCCGTTGCCGTTTATATAGTAGTCCGACTGTTTGCTGTAGCCGTTCGATTTGGAAGCTCCGTTGGCGGCCGGTTTGGAGTCGGCGCTCACCTGAGACAGTTGACAAAAAAAAAAAACACATAAGCGTGAGGTCAAAAGAAGTTTGGCACTTAGTTGTTGACGGGACGGGATCAAAGACCCTGCCCGGGCTGAGTGAAACCCCAAACTCCGCCTACCCCACAGGAACTCCGAGGGTAGGCAGGGAGTCGATGAATTTCGTTCCAAAGACAAGTAAGTACTGCGATTGTGCGTTTACCTTTTGCTTTGGCGGCTTGACGTACGATTGGTTGTAGAACTCCTTGAAGAGGAAGAAGAACATGACGGCGTGCATGCCGATCCACCAGACGAAAGCCTTGGGGTAGTCGCAGTCGATGAAAAGCAATTGGAAAGCGTGCAACATGATGGCGACGAACTGCACCATCTGGAGACTGGTCAAGTATTTCTTCCACCACAAGTATTTCTGCACTTGGGGTCCCAGGGCGGCCAACAGGTAGTACGTGTACATGATGATGTGTACGAACGTGTTGAGCAGACCGAAGAACGTGCTGTGGCCACCTAAGCGGAAGCAAACAAGGCACACACACACACACATTGTAAGTACGATACTTTTGAAAACCAAAATACAACAATTTTGAAGGGGAAAAAAAGGTAATTATTCGGCACACGGAAAGGTCGACAACGCGCCACAGCGATTTTATTTATTATGTAGCAGGAAGCCTCTGTACGAGTGACGTGGCGGGCATCTAAGGTCTCGGTAAAGGTCATCGTTTTTAAATCCTTGCGCGTTGTCAACCTTAACAATTATTGTTGATAATTATACGTATACATATATATATATATATATCGGACACATAGTCTTAATGTGTCAGTCGTTAATGTCGCCGGAGGTCGGTGTGTACAACAAAATGCAGTTAATATAATATATGCGCCGGTCGTTTGGACAAAAAAAAAAAAGTCACAGATCGTAAATAGTATTAATAACGCTCCGGCAGTTTTCTTAATGTCTTTATGTTCTTACCTGGTGTGAATTTAACTCCGAACCATACGCTCATTGGCATCACTCCGTGGTGGATGACGTGCAACGTAGAGATGTTTCTGTCCTTTTTGCGGAGCACGAAGAATATCTAGTAACATAATATGGTGTCAATGACGATAGATCTCAATTAGTTTTTTTAGTACTATAAGTAAAACAATATTATCGTCGTCAGTAGCTAACAATATATAATATAGAAACTGTAACGATCATTACCGTGTCCATGAATTCTGTAAACTTGGAGAAATAGTACCACCAGCAGGCATGGACCATCTACAACACGATGACGGAGAAGAACAGAGAAAAATACACATATTAGTTACAATAATGTCGGATCGCTGCAGAGAGGTAGTTAAAGGGAAAGACACGCGCAACTTGACACAGAATTTTTTTTAATTTTTACAACCGGTAAAAAAAAAAGCACATTGGGGTCGCGTCGGTTACAGATTTGAAAAATTGAAAATTACAATTACTCCGATGCGCAAATCCGTGGTTAATATTTTATGTTTGAATAGTAAGAAACATTAAAAAAGAAATTATTAAACCCAACTCGACCCACTTGTCAGAAAATTAAAGCGTACCCAAAATTACAAAAAAAAAAAAAACTAGTTTGGTTTTTGCCGAAATTAATAAAAGGCAACTGAAGCGTTTTCAATGTTTATCGCTTCTCTGGACGCCGATCGAAGCATAAAAAAAAATTGCGAACACGGGTAAAAAAAACCCCCCTCCAGCAATAAAGTCTTTGTCGCCTCAAAAAAGCTTGTTAATATATTGATTAAAAAAAAAAAAATGTTAACAAATAATAAAATGTATACAAATCGTTAAAAAAATGTTGGATTAATTCACATTACTAATAATTGATACTACGATGAAAATACACACAATCGACCGTTAACTACGTTAATATGCGAACTCACCCGCTCAGTCGCTGGATCATTAGAGTAGTCCACCGGCTCGCACCGGTAATTATAGCGACCAGTTAACCAGCCAGACATGCCTATCTGCAAAAACCACCACCAAAAAATATTTTACAACCTTTACGACTAATATTAAAATAATTACATAATTACAAACTAATATTATTACAAATGCATCGGATTGTCCGTTCGTCGCATAATACCATTTTCTAATAATGTATTTAAAAAAAAAAATTTTTTTTTAAATTGGTCTTTAGAGAAAATCCGTGTCGTACACACGCTTCTTAACGGATCACCCGGTAATCGTTAATATCCCAAAAAAAAAAATCAGAAATCGATATTATAATAAACCGTTATAAAATACATTATTTGTTCGGCGTTACCGCATTAATAAAACATAAATAGTATTATACTATAGATCTCTTTTAAACCATGCTGCGGATACCGATTCGATTACATGATCTACGCTGTTGTGCGTATTGTGTGTGTATTATAACATAATAAGTTATATCTATTGTAAAATAACGTTGCAGACAGTGTAAGTAAAAAAAAAAAAAAAAAGTAACCAGATGACGGATACCACGCGGGTTACGTGGAATTTAAAGAAAAATAATATAAAAAGAAATGGAAAGTATAATATATTGAACTAAAAATCGTTAAAATTTTTTCGAATCAACAGTATTTTTTAAATTTTGTTTACAGGCTGTAATATAATTCTCATGCGCCATGACCAAAATGTTAAATCGAATCGGTTTGAGCTTTATAAAATAAATAAACAAATACATTAATTAATTAATTAATTTTCTAGAATGCACGCATGCTTAAGGCAAACTCGATTTTCCTAATACATTTTTTTTTTTTAAATTAATACCTCGCATACATATTGGACATATATATAAACGTAAGACGTATTTTATAAGTACCTACAGTAAGTTTATAATAAAGTGTACCATGTATAAGTGTATAGGTACCATGTATATTATTATACAATTGTAATATATTATTAATTATTGTACTAACCGGATGAGATTTTTAGCGGCAGCCAATGTCCCTAACGTGTTTCATACCTACACAAACCTAACCAAACAAACCAACAAGTCAGGCAAAAAAATCGAGGCAAAAAAAATAAATATAAATATAGGTACGTACTGTTTAATAATTTTGTTGAACAAATTAACTAATGTTTAAATCAAATACTCGTTAATTACTCATTAAATCCTTAAATCATTCGTTTTAGAAATTGCCAATTAATTAATTATTTTTCAATGACATATTAAATCTCAATAAGTAAAATATAATCTAGCAGTTCATACGCCTTTAGTGATTGTCTTTGACCAAAAACAACGGTCATTTAAATTTACTTTTTAAACACAAAACGGCTAGCTAGAGTCTAGACTTGTAACCAATCATCGCCCACCCACATTACCGGGCTTTAGCCGGGCAATAATAATAATAAAAAAAAGAAAATTTTAAAACCGAAATGTTACCTCCTTGTTAAAGAGAAAAATCGAATTGCTATTATTTAATGTATATATTTTATACGTGTAAGTGATATCGTTTTGTTAAAGTCAATATAAGTTTATAACATGTTAAATACTAGTATAATAGGTCTAGTCCTAGGTATTATGATTATGATTATGACATGATGCTATTGAATTATATTTACATTATAGAAAGACAGCGAAAGAAGAAAAATAGTATGAACAAGTTATGAACAAGCGTTATGTGTATTGTGTATTCCTCATACATTATTTTAGCGTAGTCCAAATTCCTCGATTAAATTTCTTTTTCAGGGTTGGTAAAGTTTATATTTATGAGTTGATTTGACAGACAGCTCTTAATTTTTTTTTAGTTAAAACAAAAAAAAAGTTTTCTAACGTTTTTAATTAAAAACCTGCTTAAACGTCTGTTACAAACAAAACGTCTCGAAATACCAACCCTGAATTTTTTATTTTTTATTACAACTATAATTAATGATTTTTTAAACCTCATGCACCAACCACAAACCAAAGCCATCTGATCGTATTTTTACTTACCAAACCCGAAATTCGTTCAAACCTCACTAGATAACTTTGTTAGTTTACTAATATTATGTACAATCAAAGTTTTTTGCTCCCTAAAAACATGACGTTATACTCAATCGATTTCGAATCACCGTCACAGCCCGCGCAAAATAACTATTTTACGTGTCAAGTATAGGCGGCTTTTACCCTTTCAATAAATCAAAGGGCGAATCATACATTTTCGCTCGCCAACTTACTCTCACTGTGGACGGTTTGTCTGTATAGTCTACCGGTTGGCATTTCAGACTATATTCGCCCCACCATCCGCCCATCATACACTGTAATGTGCCCAACAATCAAGTACAAATGTGTAGTGAAAAAAAGGTAGTAACATATATTAAAAAATAATTAAATATCTATATTAATATTTTAAGAAGGATTTGCAACAAACTAAAACTAGAGCGATGAGTGAGAGATGAATATTGTATTATTATAAGTAGATATATATATATAAAGATAATTATATTTTTTTCATTTTTGTTTTGTTTACAAAGAACCTTGGCGTTTGCAAACATATGTAAGTGCGTTGATGAATATTAAAAAAAACACCTAGACCCAGACCTAGGAATAAGAAAAAAATTATGTTGTAAAACGTTTACACCGCACCGCATAGTAATGTTATGGGTGCAAACAGAAAACATATTTTTCAACGTTAATTTAAAATTAATCGTTTGTAGGCAAAACCTGGACAACAATAAAAATAACACGTACATTAGTACCAAAAATCCTTCAGCTTTGTAAAACTTGAATTTTTGTGTACACGACATTTGTTCGCGTTCGATAGGTATTCTGGTTTTTTATTTTTTTATTTAGGTAGTACAACTTTAAAAAAAAATAATATTGGTACTTAACACTTTTTGCATAGGTTATAATTATTTCAATACAGTTTTCTAAAAATCTTATTTTTAAAATGATAACCTATACAATGTATAATTACATTATGCTAGAGTGTATTGATTATTACTATTGGAATAAAATACATTGGTTTATATTATTTATTTTTTTTTTTTTTAATTTTGGCGCTTACCTCGTAGAACAACCATGAGCTGAACAACACTTGGAACAGATTGTAAATTATAAGTACATTCCGCAGTTCCATCGGTTTGCGGTTGGCCATCAGTCTGGGGCCCAAAGATTTGACCACATAAACGTAGCTGAGACATATCAGTGCCGTGGGCAAAGGACTGCTCATCAAAAACCAGTCTTTTGTACGTTCATCTAAAAGGCGGAGAAAAATTATATAAATAACGATGGTAAATATCGAAGAATTTCTTTGGCATAATTATTATTAACAAGAAAAATATACTGTTCAGATATTAAGATTGAAAATAACATTGAGTAAAATAGGAATTCAGTTATAGATAAGCGGTTCTATTAATCAATAATAAAATTTAAAAAAACTAATTTTGAGTTTTAATGAATAACAAAAATAATCTGTTTGAACATCTCAGAGCTATTAGCGGATACGTTTTTTAATTTCTGTTCCCATAAAACAAAATTGACCTCATACAATTTTATATTATAAAAAAAAACAGAAAAGAAGGGCATTCGTGGTGTATCAAAGGTAGGAAAGACACCTTCGATGAATTAAAGTTTTTAGCGCGATATTTAGCGAATAGGTTGCTAATGAAAATTGTTATAATTTAATAATTAAGTTTCATAATTTTAATTAAATCACAACTTAAACTATTCGACCACTAGTCAATTAAAGTATTATTTTTATTTAAAAAAAAAAAAAAATTAACATTATAATTGAGCGGGAAGCGAGACAAACAGCTAATTTATTAAGTTAATTTTAATACAAATTGTTAAAATTTAATATCGTAGCTGTCCGTTACTCAATATCAGACATATTATGATAAAGTATAAAGCGATCAAATATTTTTTTTTTTTGCTTCCAATTGTATTATTATTGTTCAATTAATTATTATTTGGTCGAAGATTGAAAAACAATGTAATACTGTTTGCGAAAACAAAATTTAACCAAACGCTTTGTACCTTTAATATGATTTTTTTTAAGCGAATAATAAATAAAAAACACAAAAAAATGTCTACAGTAATAATTTGTATAAATTATTATTGGTTATTAAAATTAAAATAAATAACAAACTGTCCGCTCTCAATTACCTCCGTATTTGTCGAAGACCCCTTGGACGGCGCTCAGTACTTGCGTCATGGTAACCAAATAGTAATCGTAGGTATTGTACGGTAATATTACTTTAGTGTATATATATATATATATATATATATATAACTATATACTACACTATTGCTATTATTATTTATAAGTCACCTGCGAACACACACATAAAAAAAAAAATCTAATTAATAAAAAAGTTGATAAAATAAAAAATTATAAAATTCGAACACGCACTTAGAATAAAATATTATGTAAAATAATTTATAATATATATATATTATTTTTTTAAATTATCGTTATTGTAATAATATTATTACAATATTATAATTATGCGGTCAACAACGAACGGCGGTCGTTGGTGGTCGGCACGGACGGCGGATCGCGACTAAAGCGCGTTTGTTTTAGTCGAGATGGCGCGCATAGGTTTCTTTCCTTTTTTTTTTTTTTGTCAAACCGGACAACACATACGTATCGTGTACACACACACACACACTACACACACATCGGCTAATATAACTCGCTGTGCCCGTACTCACACACACACACACACACACACAGCCAACAGGCGATTGTAAACGAAGGCTTTGGCAGGGTCAAGACCGGCCTAGGGATGCAAGGTCGGCGGCGTCGTCGTACCGAAAACCCGACCGCGGTGAAACCCGTTTTGTATGATTTACACGCGAGCAACTATAGTGGTATGCCTACGCCCTAAGAACCGGCGAGTTTGCACACACACACTATTATATTGTACTTCTTACACCTCTACCACCGCTATAGTATAATGGGTATACACACATACGTCACGTCATACTATTGGCGCAAAACGAGTAATAAGACCGGCCAATAAATACCTTACGCGTACGTCACCAAATACATAATTATTGCTGTGTAGTTGTTATTGTCTGAACGACTTAAAACCGCTCTGTCCGGTTAGGAATAATACATTAGAAAAAAAAAAAATTCAAACGCACCAGGAAAATTTGAATAATCGAAATAAATGGCCCGGTCAAAAAATAAATAAATTCCTCCTACGCTCAATTTTTGTCCTCGAGTCGAGTAATCAAAGTAACAAACCGGTCACACGCGGAACCGATGCACATTGGTTTGGAATTAAAAAAAAAAAAATGTTTAAGAACGTAATATTGTATATTATGTGTTTGATTTCTCCACTGTAGTAAGCCATAATAAACCGGTGGGGTAAACATAATTCCAATACGATAAGGCAATATTTCAAACCATTTGACCATTTTGAAAAATCCATTTTCGATCGCCTTTTTCGGATTCTAGACCCCTGTGCGATGGTAGTACGTTTGGAATTTACTTTTTTCTTCACGCAGCATTTTAGCCAAAATATAGTTTTTTTTTAAGAGGCGGCGGGAGATACGCTTTCCACGGCGTTAATGCGATGGACATGCCGCCGCCAAATTATATCACAACGTCGTTTTGCAATACACCACAGTGCATACAATACTATTACTATACTTATACATATATATAGTTTATACATAATAATGTAATTACAAGCGATTGGGGTTTTTTTTATTGTTGTGCGAGCACAATCGATTGCGCCGGCAAACGTTTACTACTTCATAATAATAATATATATATATTATATAGATACTATAATACAATAAATCCTATATAGCTGTCTACTAAACCCCGTGTCATTATTATTATTATACTGCCTATCAAGTTCGTATTAAAAAATATAAATAATAAATACACATAACAGTTGCGATTAGCAAACAATATTCTGTTTGAATGCGATAATTAAATGTATCTATTAAAATTATTGTTCAAACTAAAAAAATATAGGGCGGACCGTGGCGCGTGCTGGACAGTAAAGCGAGTAAGAACACAAGATACAGAAGCACTGTACAGGGCTATCCAGTTTGTTATGAGATATCGGATTGGCAAACCATATCAATTGTTTTTAAACTTACGAAAGAAAAGTTCGAGGTAATGTGTTATTAAAAAAACGCTGGTCTACCGTCTACCACATTTACAATGGACGTACCCACGTTGGTTTGGTTTTATCCCTGACGGCAAAGTCGCTATGCAGAGTTAATTAGCGACAACATTTTCAACAAATTTTCGCATCGAGGCTTCCTATAAAGGTCGATCAGTCAAGCGGAAGGAGTCAACGGGTAAGTAGTATCGGTATAAAGCTGGTACACATATGAACCGTCAACCGGCCTCGGAGGAGACGGTGTGACGTAGGTCCTCGCTCCCGTAAGCAAAACAGAGATTCCCTAACCGGTAGTACATAAGCCGTGGTCGGTCGGAACCGGTCCGGACAATCGAACAATATTATAATGAACAAAATATGTTATTATTCTGGTTTCCCCAAGTACCTGAACGGCTCGGGCGACCGCCTCACCCCGTTTTGGCGTGTACAAAATATGAGTTTACGCTTTTCACGGCACTACATCATTATCAATGTAGACGGATCGGTTAATATTATGCATTGACGGACGAAAATGGCTTTCCGGCTTGTCGGCATTCTATGATAATCGTAAAAGCCGAATTAGAGCTGACGTCACATCGAAACGTTAACGAATGCAATGCAATGTTGTAAAAAAAACCACTATATCCACCCACACCCCCTCTCTTCTCCCTCAGAATTTCTGTAAAAATAAAAAACCTTACTACTCTTTAGCGCCCCCTCTCCTAAGTCCGCACATCCGTATGGTTTGCACTGACAATCCAATCCAAAACATCCCAAAGTACATATGATATTCGCATAATTATACATACATGCACGTAAGCGTCGATTGTACAAGCTGCACCGATATCAAAGTACTCGACACCTCGATCGAATAATAATTACTATAAAAGTCGTTCGACCCGTTTGTTTGAATACAAATGACCAAAACTTTGGTAGTAATAAATATTTACAATATGTTCTATTATTGGTACCGAATTTTCAAGTTTAACACGATGGAACGACTCGAACGATCGCCAATAACGACCACTGCTTTTGCCGCAATTGTTAAGTACCTACACTCGATTGTTAATAAATTATTATTATTTACACCGACAAGTACCCATTATACAGGTATTGCCGGTCACTGCGGTTTTTTTGTGTGTGTGTGATAAGGTAAATCGGATCGAAAACTGGATTAGCAACATTAAGAAAATTGATGTAAACCATTTTGACGACGACGACGACATGCGCGTTCTTCCTGCTGGCCTCCAAAGGGGAAGGTCGCCGGAACAGAAGCTTCATCCGTGAATATTACACACACACAAATATAATAATAATATATATTATTATATAACTTATTATATTATTATTATTATTATAGCCGATATAGTACACACACGCACACACGAGAGTCGACGGACGTGAAACGCGGTAAGCCGCATTGAGACGGGCGTGTGGTCACGATCGGATAACATATTAATAATAATAATAACGATAATAGTGCAATAATAATAATAATTATAAAAAAACAAAAGGGCGAATCGATTTCGGTTTCTGCACACGGGAGAAGAACGCATAGAAGACCTTCAGGCCGACCGATCACTATCTCTCCACACACTATCAATCGCTTATTATAACATAATACCACACGAGAACGGCTATAAACTATTGTTGTATTATGTATTAGATAAACCGTCGATCGAATTAAATTTATTAAATATTTATAACAAAAAAAAAACCCCAAACCTAAATAATTATGTCTCACGCCAAAAAATTAAAACAAACCATGAGGACACGAAATAGATACGAGTGGAATAATAATATTTACATGAATTCGATCGAGATAAATACTTGGCAATCGTTATTGCGACCGACGGCCTTAAGACGGAAGGAAATACAGTCGAATATTTATGCAATTATATACCAATAATAACAAACTATAATCTAAGGACGAACTCATACACAGTTCCGGGTAAAAATGTCGAATAAAAAAACATAATAATTATAACACCAATTGAGAAATAACTTTAATATTAAATTCGACCGAATGTAATTTATTTAAAACCAAGGCGAACGGAAGAAAAAAAGTGTTAGTTTCTAAAGAATACTATACCTATCTCAGTAGTGAAATCGTTTCAAAAGATATTAATAATATTCTCAGCAAATAGAGTGCTCACCTGTGGTGTACCGCTGGTGTCCGGGAGGATGACTGAACTGATCACTATGATCTCGGAACAGTGTATATTATATGTCATTTACTCGGCTAACGTGTCGATGGACTTAAGGGCACGACCTTGGGACCAACAATCGGGTTGGTCCGGTTTTTAGCGACTCTTGCCGTAACACCCTGTAGATTTGTTCATTACAAAACTACTCTTCCTACATTTGATCGAGTTTTTGCGAAGAAGGAGTAAATAAAAGAAAACTATTATCGTGCAATTATATTAATTTTGATTTTTTTTTTTTACCTACAACCGGTTGTACGAGCAGTACATTTGCCTAGACCTACACCTAACTTTTCATTATCAAGTTCATTGCAAGATCGGTCAACATCTAGCCGAGTAAATAATAATGAGGATATTTTCCTAGACAAAAACATTATTCTTTAATTAATAAAATAAAGTTTAAAAGTTCACATTGTCCGACCCTTTTGACTACGGCGACAAGTTAAATTAGCTATTAGTAATATTTTGAAAATACTGATTCTGCAATTTTAGACTCCCTAAACTTCAACAAATGGGATACTACGGATCAGTGTTAACTATATTAATAACAGCGGTAAGCCATATGGGCAAATCGTTTAATAACCTAAAAAATCAATACAAAAGTTGATCATTAAATTAACTGTCGGTCACATATTTTATAAACGTTCTCACCGTTTAAATATCACAGTATTTTTTACTTATGCAAATAAATCCGTCCCAAAAATAGATGTCAAAATAAAACATTTCTCTCCACTTAAAAGTCCATTAGCCCATTGTTTCCTCATCGATTTCCAAACGTATTAAGTCATAACCATTTTTTTTTAGTTGCTCATACGTAAATATTACTTCACGTGTCAATTATTATACTTAACTACAGTTTAAGATGCTTATGAAATTATAGAAACTACTTAAATGAGATAGATTTTTCATTATTATATGACGAAAACGGTCATCCAAATATTTGCCCAGAGAAATCTATCTGAGTAGACTTCTAAAACAAATTTTGCATTTTAGATGTGTGC